TTCCAATCTTTCTGCGTTCAAATTCTCTGTGTGTCTCACTCCCTCTTTGGGCCTCAGTGTATTTCACAGTGGTTATAAGTTTGGATTTTATTCTGAATGCAACTGGAAGTCATTGAAGGGTTTGGAACAGATATGATCTGATTTATATTGTAAAAAGCCTTTCTGCTGCTATGTAGGCAAGAGACTGGAGTAGCCAAGAACAGAAAGCAGGAGAAGCAGGCAGGGTGCTATTCTAACAGTCCAGGTGAAGTCATGGTGATCTGGACTCTTTCAGTGGTGCTGGAAAAGACTGAATGGATTCAGGATATATTCTAGAGGTGAAAATGAGAGGACTTGCTAACGGATAAGATGTGCAGAGTTAGCATAGGGAAGAATTCAAGGGTCAATTTTACTACAGTTCTGAGGAGGGCGGTAGGGGGCAGAAAGTTAAATAAATTAACTGCAAAGTAATCTGAAATGTTCTTTTTATACTAAAATAGTATGCCTTCAACAGCTACTACTTTGAAAGACACTGCCAATCCCCAACTCTTCACAGCTTAAATGTGAAGGTCACAATTTAAATGTCAGTTTCTTGGGGAGGAGTTCCCTGACCATCTACACACAGCGGGGAGCTCCCCAGATTCTTACCTTCTCTCTCTCAGCCCCTTATGTTTACTCTCCCTTTAGAATATTAGGTCCTCTTCAGCAAGGGCCTTGCAGATCTGTTCCCCACAGTCCCCCTGGAACTCAGCACAGGTCTGACATATGAGAGAGAGCACATGACGAGCGGATGTACAACACAGTGACAAACACGTTAGGGATCAATACTTGTATTTTACATGAATTTTTAAGATAAAACTTGAGAATTCAGTGATGTCATCATTAGCCATCCCTGAGATCAGAACTCCACACCCGCTGGGGTAGATGTTCACTCCCCTCTCTGCTCCTGGCAGTACTGTAGGGAATAATGTTTGAGAAGTCCTCGACTAGACTGTCTCACTGGTGACACCCTAGGGATCTGATGAAAACACAGTAAATTAGCATGCAGTAGTGTGGTCTGTGACCCCAAACAGACATGTTAGGAGAGAGTTCACTTGACAAAGTGAACACTTATGTTTCAGATTCTGGGTGAAATTTTGTAAGGGAAAAGTAGGAATGAATGTAATAAGTCTTATTAACAACATTATAAGAACTTTTCAAAAAGGATCTTCAGAGTAATGAAAATTTGTCTTTCACATCAAAAGGCATGAATGGACAGGAGTAAGAAAAATTAATATGTTTCTGATTCAATCTTTCAGCAGATGATAAAGAAAAAGACCTCCATTTTACCATGACAACAAACACTGGAATAGAGCCACATAGAAAACTACTCTGCTTGGAAAACCCCACTTTGAAGCCTCCTCCTTTGTAGATCAAGAGATGCCTACATTTCTGCATCGATGTTAAAACTGAATTTGATGGACCTCTATTCCTCAAGTGGCCTCTGTCATACCCGACATCCTGTTTCAGGAGGCTGGTAAAGGTTGGTGGGTTATAACATTTTAAACAACAACAAAATACTAAGAAGCTCAGGTCGTCACTGATTGTGAGGGTGAATTTAATAAAGGAGAACTTGAACTAAGGCCTTTACTCACTAAATAACAGGTTAGTATAGTTTACTGGTTAAATCAAAGGACCTGACAGGTTACTCTTTATTATGTCAAAAACACACTGAGGTAAAGAGGTTTCAGCTAATTCTTCCTAAACTGGATTCTCCATTTACAATTTTCTTAAAACAGTAGGGACTCTTTCTGCCAATGCAGGTGGATTCCAAATGCCAAGTAGGTCAGTAATAAAATGAAAAGCTGGAGAGAGACTTGAAAAGAGGCATTTAAAAATGGCTTTAAAAAATGGGCCTTCGCAGAGAACTGACTGGAACACACTGTGAAAAGATTACTATAAGTTCAGTATATGAATATTAATAGAAAAACCCTGCAGTGTTCATAAATAGTTATGACTTGATGAAATAATTACAAATAACACAAGTCAAAATTTTAGATCAGTTACAAGTGTCTGTAATGATATTCTATCCATAAAAAGCAAAAATATTTTAAAACTCTAAAGGCTTCCACTGACAAAGATATTTACCTAAACAAAGAATTCTTTTGCTCAAATATCACCTACTACCTTCTGAGTTTTTACAAATGAAAACTGGTGAGGGAATGCCAGAGGGAAGTGTCCTATTTAAACACTAGGACAGTCATTAAGCCCACATCCTGATTTGATAATGAAACAGTTTAAGTTCTCAATTTATTACTATTAGAGAGCTGTATGGTCAGCGGGGAAAAAAGATGAGAGATGTTAAAGGTTTGTGAGTGAGCAGCTAAAGTTCACTGCCAGCCTATCAAAGGATTTCTGAAAGCTTACAACTAACCTCTAACGCACAAATAGTGTGAGAACTCTTGACGTCACATGGCACATGTTGTTTAATCTCAGGTGGCATCTCTTCCTTCTCAAGTTAAGTAAGAGTAGCACAGAGACAGTGCTGCTCTGTGCTCAGCTGGGCAGGGCTGAGCCAGACACCGGGCGTTGCAGGCACCTTCTTGCAAATACCGAGCAGGTCACTATGGCAGAGGCCTAGGAAGTGCAGGCCAAGTGCTGCCTCCCTGGCACTTCCTGCCACCAAGTTCATGACTAAGTTCATATGCCATAACGGGTAAGTAATAAGTATTTCACAGCCAATTGTGAGCATGAACAGAATTTTTTTTTTTAGTAAATGTACTTGTGATTCTCTCTGTGACAGGAGGATTTTCCTCTTCATTAATCACCCTCTAAAACAAGTCCACTCCACAATACAAAGTTCAAAAATGCAAAATATACTCTGCCTTTACCAAGCTAACCACAAATAAACATCTTTGCCAAACTGAAGATCCTTCTATTTCATGAGACCAGACTTAACAAAGCAATAGAAAGAGCTTCTTACTTTAAAAGGCTTTTTGGATCAAGAAAATGGACAGTAATTTATGTAAGTGCATCAATCTCAATTGACTTATTTAGTATGGAAAGGAATAAATAATGCAGATCACTGTTTTTTGGACAATGAATCCTAACTCTTTGCCAGTGACGTGGCAAAGACTCTGATGAAAATGGCAGGGATGCACACACAAAGGTGAACATAAATAAATGTGTGTATGACAAACGTGGTTGCTGGAGACAGACACAGATAAATAGTTGTGCAACTGGACAGAGAAGACTGGAGACAGAGGAAAAGACATTAGTTCAGCTGTATCCCAGGAAGTCTGCAGAGGTTTCATGATCTAAAAAATCTGCACCAGCAGAATTTCTATTAAGAAGGTTAAAAAAGTTAGTAAGTTAGTTCTACCTCCTTTTGGGCAATTCAGAATAATGTTATCTTAGAACATAATGAATATGTCATAAAATACACTATTATATAAAAAATTTAGGGACAAAACAAGAGGAAAAAATCAGGATCCTGAAGGGAGATGAATGCTTAACATCTTTAAATATCTGAAGCTGTTTAAATGCTATTAGACTGGCACCTAGAACCCCAAAATATCACCTTTCCCCTGGGAAGGAGAGGCTATGCCACTTCAATCATCCCTTAAATGCGAAGAGGTTTGACCCCCATGCAATGGATAAAAGTCACCCAAAAAATGAACAAAAGAGGTGTTTGGAAAAACCAGAACACCATTCATCCCAGCTAACGACTTGTTCATTATGAGTGATGATGGATAAAGACTTCTCATGCTGAGATGAAATCAAGATTTATATGCATTGTTTCCTCTCCCAACTTGTGGGAAGATCATCATCATTTAATTCTATCTCTGCGGCCAGTGATGGGCATCCAGAGAGCTGGTTATCAAACGGCGCAGTCAGCTGGCAAAAGCCGAAACGTGCAGTTGGCACATCTGGACGGAGCCGCCACAGCCGAGGGTGAACAATGACTCCTGGCAAGCATCCAAATTGCTTGCAGACGCTAGCAGGTCTCATCTACAACCGCCCCTACCAGCATCTCTCTCTCTCTCTTTTTTATGAGAATCAGATTTTCATTGCTCCATTCAATTGCTCTCCTCTGCCATTTTTTACAGCTCTTATCGTTCCCCTGGAATATGGCCTTGAGACAGCTCATCCGTGTCCTTCACTGTGTTATCTCTTCTAACTTTTATTAAAACTTCAGCTTTCATCTGAAGATAGCTAATTAAATCTAGAACAGATTATATTCCTCCCCTAAAAAAGAACGCAGAACTATTTTCTTCAACCTGAGCCATGCTTTTTTCCCTTTCTAAAACATGAAATCAAAGGTGTTTAAGAAGTCTCATTTGTTTACAAAGCTATTTGACATGTCATATACAGGTTGATTTATACTAAAGTTGTCTATGGCATGACAAATCTTTGAGCTATTTCTCAAAATAATTATTTCCCAATACTGAGGATTTTTTTTCTCATGTCCTTTAAATATTACACCTAATATTATAACCTTATTTTCTGTATAAAGTTGGGTAATGAGGAATTAGAGATTAACAGGTATTTGTGTACAAGTGATTTATCATAAAAAAAATTTTTTTACAGGTGCCCTCATTTGGTAAAAATGAAAAAATGTTTTCTTTTATTTTATACCCCAAACACTAACAACCAGAAGTTTCCCCCATGGAAAATTATATGAAAACATGAAATTAAAAGCAGTGCTTCAAATTTAGGGTTACAAGTCAGCTTTTCAGTTTTCAAGACAGCTTTACACCAACTAATAGTTAGCTTAAGTGGCTTTGTCTTAATCTATTGCAATTTAATGATGGAGCTTCCATAAGCAACATGAACTCACTTTTCTCACATATGCCACTGACCCAGTCCCTTCTTTGGGCCCAGGGGGAGCTTAAAAATCACTTTTCTGTTATAGTCTCGCTAACCAAACCTTCTGGCAATGATACCTGAATCGATCTTGCCAGCCATCAAACATACCCGCGCCCAGCACTTTTAACTAAAGGTTAAGCTTCTGTTGCCAGGATATGATTTAGCTGTCCCACCTGAAATTTTCTGCGATCCTTTTCTTCGCTTCACTGCCTTTAGCAAGATTTCTTTCATGGTGACCTTTGTGTTGTCCACCTGAATAAGGGAAAATCCATGAGCAGCATTTCTGTAGGAAAAGACAAGTATTAAATCATCATCAATATTCAAGCAAAGAGATGTTAATGCAGTCTTCACTGAGTTTAAGAAAGTACACTGAAGTGTCAGTTATTTTAAAATGGGTTAAAAAGACCTACTTCTAACGAGAGAGAGAGAGAGAGAAAGAAAAGCATTCTAGTATGAACAGTTTCAAGTGAAAGGGAGGGCAGAGTTAGAGAAGGGTTTTCTAATTTATCTGAAATTGAATCCACTTGGGTCTGTGTGGGTCACTAGTACCATGGGTTCCTTGGTTGGTTCTCAAGCCAAATCGTGCAGCAAGGACTGACAAACACACTTGGCTTGTGTCAGTAGATGTCACTGCAGGCAGATACTACCATCATATTAAAGCTCATGGCGCCCTGGAGGAAAAATGTTGGGGTGGGGTGGATATGATAGCCGAAAGCGCTTTAGAATAAGGGGAAAAACAGACTCCTCCTAACTGGCAAGCAAATAAATAAACAAACATTTAAAAAATATATACAGTCTGTGTACACTTCAGTAGGAATGTTTTAATCCACTTAGTCCTAGAAGGTCAAACGAAATATTAGCCGAAGCGTAAATAAGTACAAGACAAAATATTAACACTACTCATAAGCTGCTGGCCAATCACTCTTTGGGGGGAGGGGGTCATCCAGATAGAAAAAAACTGGTAAGGAATAAGTACCCTTAGAAAAGAAGCCTATTCCTAGCTGAGGTTTAACCTCACTAAGACTGTTAATTGCAAGAGCAAGTATCACAAATACTACTCACTATGCTTGGGCACTGGAACAAAACAGGCCAATTCCAAGCAGCTCAGGTAACAAATGGGACCCAAGTTTCCAACTATGGAACATGGGAATTGCCACAAGGAGTTTGGTCGCATTCCCATTTCCCCACAAGAATCTCAAAGGGGAACACAGCCAAAAAACATGGCAGAACCTCATACTGACAAGAAATCTGAAAGAAAAGCCAAGCCCCAAGCTAAGCCGTGGAAAAGCTTCCCAATGGTAGGACAGGCTGGGAAGGGGCCTGAAACCTAGCTTGGACCCAACCAGGTGGCTGGGGGCTGATTGCAAAACCAAGGACCCAATTTGCTTCCCTAATACAAAGACATCTCTGCACCCCTCCTCTCCATACGGCTTGCTGTTTAATCTTTGACATTCCATTTGTTAAAAAGCAAAAGCCGATGCTGGTCTAGCCAGCACGATCATCCATTTTAACTTGGTCAAGTTCTCGCTATCGAACAGCAGGCCTGAGAACTGTCAAGCTAATTTTACTGAACACTCTGTTACTGAATCATGCCTGAGCCCCGGCCGTTCTTTACCTCAGAAGCTGGACCCCATCCCAGAACAATCTTTAAAAGTTTATTTTACTGATCAAAGCAAAATAAGAAATAGCTCTTTTCTAAAAACTATATTTAGGGAGCGATGTAGTAAGTGATACTTTGGCAGGAGTACTGAAATGTAAAGTGCCGTGTGCATTTATAAACTTGGGGGTATTTGCTCTGGCACCAGGCCAGCGTGTGTTTGGAACAAATGCCAATCATCCACGTTCAGACTTGCCTTCCCCTGCTTTCTCCTCAGAAGTCAGTACGCACTCCATCTGCGACAATATGTTGGGCGATGGATGAGTAGGACCTAGAAGGAAACACGAGTTCTCGGGCTCTCCCAAACTTGTCCTGGGCTGGATCTCACGAACTTTCATCTGCCTGGGTTCCACCAGAACTATTTTAGATTTGAGTCTGCTTATAAACTGTTTATATTCTCTCCTAATCTGCTGCTGGCTGATAGCATTATTTCAAACCAATACGTTTATCTTCTCAGCAAAGGCAGACTAAAAGCTCAAAAGAAGCCTGGTGCTTGGACTAACTTCCATAAATTAAAAGTGTCCTTTTAAAAGATTTCTGAACACAGGAAAATCCCTAGTCTGTATTTTTCTGTCATTTTACCAAAACGTACCTGGGTGACAAGGTTAAAGCATGCAGAGGAAATCCCTGGCACTCATCATCCACAGGCATTACTGATAAATTGTGTGGTGGAGGAATAAAGGATTACCTTCTGTATTTTTTCATTACACTTTTCTTTTGTTACAGAATACATAAATCCATTGTGGCACGATGTAATATGTATCACCGTGCTACACCTGCGGACGCTTCCGAGCGGCTGCCATGTCTGTGCAGTCAGGAATGATAAGTGAACCACCCGTGAATGTTAACGATAGTGATCATTCTGAGGTAACTCGGCTCTCCATCTTCCTTTACAGCCTCCGTGCCGAAGCCAGGGTAGCAAGGTTCATGAGAGGAAAATGGAAACAGCCGCGAAGGGAAGGGGCACGCTCGGTGCGTGGAATGTGCCTTCACGAGTGTGCGGTATCTCTCTCTGGGCTCCGTTTCGGGGAAATGTGCACATGGAAAGGAGGAAGAGGTTGTGAGCCACGTGATGCACACTCCACCAGACCTAATGAAAGTTTCCTCAGGTCGGACTCGCACTCCACTCCTTTCTCTCCAGACGAATGCCAACTTTGGGTCTGGTCCCAAGTCCACAGCACTTAAAATGTTTCTAAAACACAAGAGTACAGAACCTAAGTGGCTCTCAGACTCCATCTAGGTCCAACTGTTAAGTCAGGCTCCCATTTAATAAACGGATATGGAGACTTGCTACCACAATTTTCAGCTTGACTTCCGAACATTCTGGGTTTTAAGCCTCATTTCTTCATAGCCAGGATTTTTTACGGGCTTTCTAAAATGTCTATTGAAATACATCCTTTAAAGCCACTTTTATTTAATGATGGGCACTGGGTCTGAGGCTGAGCTGACAACGATCTTGGGGGAAATGCTGGCAGCAGACAGGTAGGGTGTTGGCCCAGCCCCTCCTCCTCATGGCATTGCACCCCAGTCTCCGGGCTGTCACCTGTGCTGGGGATGACTAGCCCCCGGACGGACAGGCAGATGGGTGGACAGACAGATGGGCTACAAACCCAGGTTCTCGGCTCAGAAACTGCTCCTCCTTCGGCTCCCTCGTGGACAGACAGCTTATTTTCTGCCAGTGCAGGGTTTCCTGGGGGCACTGAGCACAAGCAGCTGCCCTTCCATGGCTCCTTGGGTCTGGGTCTGGATGAAGCTTCACTGTAGGGAGCTGACTAAATGCCGTCAGGAGTGCTTCAGTCAATTCCAAGTTAGGTCCTGTCAAGTCTCGTAACCACTGAGAAACGTATGGGCATTTTAAAAAGAGATTACTCACTTGAGGAATTCAGCTCTGTCCCACTGCAAAGCCACTCGGTTACCAGAGGGAAGTTTTCACACCAGCATTAACCTAACACAATGAGCACTTCTGTACTGAGCATTAAACTAGAGGTGGCAAGGGACAGAGAAGTAGGGGCACAGATCTTCATTTGAAAAGCTGAGATTCTATTTATAGGGACAGAGCTGGACTCAGAACCCAAGTTGGAAGGCAATATTGGAGAGGAAAACACATGGGCAGGGAGTTAAAGGCCCTTTGGTTCAAATCCTGGCCCCACGGCTAACTGAAATGTTGTCTTAGCATGTAGAAACCTCAGCTGCTTCGGTGAACTGAGGAGGCCACTTCCTGTCAGGAGGGTAAGACAGACAATGAATGCCAAACACCTGGAACTAAGGCTGGCAAACAGTAACAAGAGTTTACAATGTTCGCTCTCCTGTGTTCCCCTCGTCCCAAGTCATCAGCCCAAGAGAAGAGGCCCTGTTCAGCCCATTCCCCTAAACCCTCAGCAGATATTGCTTATTTGGGGAAATGGATTTCAACCTTCAGTGATTATAAATGGTAACACAGAACAAATGTGCAATCTGCTGGGCATGGTGGCAACATCAGGGCACTATCAGTAAGCAGCCTCTGGCCCAGGCATCAAAACCCTCTGAAGCTCCAAGGAGAACACCCTGGGCTCTGGTTTTGAGGCTTTCCTTTCTGAAAGTAAACCTGAGAAGTAGGTATGGGCCACCTCAGCTTAACTCAGCTTTGGATGGGGATGATGGAAGTCAAAAACCATGTGGTGTTGCAGAGAAATTCAGGGAGATTTATTGTCTGGACCTGCAGAGTACAAGATGCCATCATTTGACGACTGCAACATAATGGCAGCAACTACTAAACTACTACCTACTGACACATCGTATGTGCCAGGTGCTGTGTCAGCCATTTTAAATCTGTTATTAACTCATTCTACCTAAAACAGGCACTATTATCACATCCATTTTGCAGAAACTGAGGCTAGAGACACTAGGGAATTTACATGAGGTCACTCATATACTAATGATCCAATTTTGGATTCAGAAATCAACAGTACAGTCCCTAACCCAGTAGCACAGCCCAGTGGGAAAGAAAGACAAAGAAGCAACAAAGAATTACAGTTCCGTGTGATGAGCATAAAGATGAAGGCAAGCTCGGGTGCCGCCAAAACACAGGGGCACTTAACCCAGCGGGTAGGGTGAGGGGCCAGAGAAGCTTCTTGGGGGGGGCATCTCAAAACATAGTTGTCATTTAGCTCTATACCATACTAAAAGAATGGTGGCAACACCAGAAGGCAGGACAGAGCCAGCTCTGCCTTCCTTGGGTAAATGACAGTCTCTCTAACTTTTACTTTTCTCATCTACAAAATGAGGACAATTCTTTGTAAGACTGTTGCCAGGGCTAAATACGTCTAAAACGGTAAATACAATACCTGTCATATCCTAAATGCTTAATAAGCAATAGATAACATAATAATCAATCAGCTTTTATCATACACAGAAGTGATACATAATGATGAGAAAATGACAATAATCAACATTTACTGAGCACTTACTTTGTTCATTTAGTCCTCCCAGAAAAGGTAAGTGCTATCATCCGTCCCATTTTACAATGGAGGAAATCGAGGTTTGGCAAGGTTGAGACATGTGCCTGGAGTTAAGCAGTTAGTTAAGTGGAAGAACCAGTACTTGAACCCAGATCAGCCAGGCTCCAAAGCCTGTGTTTTAAATCTCCC